ATTCGAAACCCTAGCAGAGAAGTCATCCCTCATTCTAAAAAGATCTTTCATTCTAAAAAGATCTTTTTAACAAAACATATATATATATATATATATATTGAAAAAAACCAAGGGCTAATAATTTAAACAGGAAAGATACAAATAAATTGTAGGAGCGAGCTTAAAAGAAGACACAACCCACACGATACAACACACACAAAATCCAAAAAAAACAGAGAAGATACAAATAAGATCAAAAAAACAAAAAACTACCAACGTGCGCAAAAAACTAGGGACGACTCAGTTTAGTCCAGCCTCTGCCTCGAGTTCTCGGAAGCAAGCCGGCTAACAAATGGATAAGGTGTGTACCATTATCCGAAGTAACCAAAGTATTATCCATCAGATTCCTTAGCTCAAGTAGGTTTTCATGCTTTTTCTTCCTTCTGGATGTGTAAACTTGTCATTCCTCATCCGAGGATTGACTCATCTGATCAGTGGATGGCTGGACAGGTGTAGGTTGTTGCCATCATGAACCTCATGTGCCTATGTAACATTAAAATCTTGCTCGACCTGATGAGGCGGTAGAAAAGTAGTAGCAAGATTGTCACTAGTAACATCAGTAATAGGTTCTAGGGCTGGTGAAGTTTGTAATGACGCCCGAGTACCATGCTCCAAACCAACGGTTGGAGTAGAGTGTTCAAGAGTAGGAGCATCCATGGGTAGAACGGCTTGGGTATGATGTTCTTGTTCTTTATCTGAGACAACCAAGAACCAAGGTTTGAATAGGAGGATCATCAGAAATTTTCCCATCCGGAAAAGCGTCGGGCAGATGAGCAGAGATATGTACAGTGTTGGAAAGCGGGTCAGGTTGCACCTCCTCAACAGAGATAATAGGTGGCAAGACGTTCACCCCTAATTCAGCATGAATAGATTTTTGAGCAGGTTGTTGAACTTTAGCAATATCCGCCTTAAGTGAGGATGCAAACAATAGCAAGTAGTAGAGCTATGACCAAACATGTTACAATAAAAGTAATATGAAGGGTGTGATTCTATTTCAACCTTTTATCAAAAACCAATATGATTGGATCTAATTCATACATCATCCAGAGCTAGTTGGGTGATATCTATCTCAACTAACACACAATCCACAGAAGGTCTAGTGACAGCAAACGTAGGACTATCAACTTTAAAAGACTTATCTTAAGCAGTTGCTTAGGAGAAAAGAAATTCAAAGTTGAATAGGTGTAGTTTTAACCCTGAAAACTTTATCCAAACAGGAATAATAGGGGACTTCACTTTTGGATCAAAGTCGACAGTCTACTTTAGGATTTTCATAAAACAGTTGTCAATATTGATTACCTTTCGAGAAAAAATATGTGTAATCTGCATCGTGAGATAACTAAATAAATATATGTCGGTCGTCAAGTAAGCCAATATTTCAACTACCCGATAGTTTCATAGCATCAAAATTTTTCCAAATGAGTACTTGTTTCAATCTCAGAGAGAAACAAAGCAGGTTTCCCATTTTTTTCCAACCTTTTTAATGAAAGTGTAATCACCACCACCTTCAAGGGCCTCGTGAAAGGATTGTGGAATAATGCAAGGCTTACCGATACCAAAACCAGACTCTGAACCTGAAATACAGGCACGAGTAGGATTAGGATTGTCGTCGGCAAGGGCAGTGACATAGAAACGGAGCGTCGAAGACTGACTCACTGATCAATATGTTGGTCAACAGATTATCGGGCATGTGTAAGTTGATGAATCCCTTGCGCTTGACTAACACTAACGACTTGCTAATTTAGATGAGGTGGTAGAACTGCAGTAGAAAGATTGTCAGGATTGCCACCCGTTGTAACCACATTAGGTTCTAGTGTATGTAAAGTATGAATTGTCGCCTCTACACCGGATATTTCCTGAAGATGAGAAGCTACAAGGCCCTCTTGATTATCGGTCCGAACATTTTCCTTTAAAGGTAAGGATCCTTCAGTATTATTTTCAATAATGTTTGAAGGTGTAGATTGCCCAGCAGAGCCATCCGACAACACATCAATCGCAGATATAGAAACACTATTATCAGGTGGGTCCCCGGGGGCAATTAAATCAGTCACCAACTCCTGTTTTGTGGTAATTTCCTCCACAACTGAGGTCGATGTGTCCAAAACAGTGGGGTTAGATCCATCCCTATTCACTTGAGCTGTAAATTTCAAGTTAGGATGGAGCCTGTGACATTTGTCAAGGGTATGCCTAAACATCTTACAGTCGGTATAATAGAAAAGTCTATGCTCCATGACAATTTGTTGTCAATATCCATTAGGTGTTGTGCTCAGCCAGTCTTCTGAAATATCAGGTAAAGTGATATCCCGTTCCACAAGTATTATGACAATAAAAGACCTGGTTAGATTGAAGGTGGGTAGATCAAGCTTCATAGGATCCCCAAATATGACCCCCATTACGGTAAAGATTCTGATGATTAAAAAAATATAGTTTGAGACCAGGTAAACTAAATCATACTAGTACAGTGGGAGGTTTAAGGTTTGGATCAAAATCGGGAGTCTACTTGAGTAACTTCATTGACTTTCCTACAATGTTAAGATATTTTTTAGAGAAAACCAGAGCGTACACTTCAGGCATGGTTAACTGAATCAACACGTCTCCCATCAAAGAGACTCACTTTCCACTTGTCTACTAGTTTAAGATTATCAAAACTCTTTCTGATAGCATCCATAGATGGGTGCCCCCACTGAAATTTTCTAATAAGGGCGAATTTGAATTTCTCAGTCAATGTTTAAATTTCTAAATCAGAGAAAAAGTGTGTTGTTCTCTCACATTTCCTACTTTTCTTAACAAAAGGGCAATCGTCTGTACCATCACGACATTCCTTATAGCTTGGGGGAAAGACAACAGCCGACTCCACCGAATGATTGCCCACCACGTAGGCGAATGAGGCTTTGTCAGGTTCAACCGAAGGAGGAAGGAGCGCACCCAAAAATCAAGGAGAAAGTCCACCTGCAATGACGCCCCGTATGCGCAGTAGGTGAACGAGTCAGAAAATGCTAGCCGAAAGACGCTCGGCGTCGAAACAGACGAACGATACGACAGAAGACATGAGCCGGCCGAAGATGTGAAGATGCGAGCGCAGAAGCTCAGCGTCGAAACAGAGCGGGCCGATAGAAGGCGCAAAGAACATGCGAAATAGATGAAGCTGAGGATTGATGAGATACGAGCCCTTTTCCTTCGATCGCTTCTGAATCATACGCATGAACAGAGTTTTAGAAGGTCAAAATGAAGTATTTGTAAGCACTTTAAAACATAAATGCAAATAACAAAATTCACAACACAATCTAAAAATTTTCAAATCATGCATTCATCACAACATGTTTGACAAACTCAAATGCATACTCTCGTAAAGCAAGCAAATACACCACTCAAGTTCACCAACTGCACTGAAAAATGTGCAAAAGCGTCAACAATTGTGGAAGCTTATCAACAAATGTGCAAGCGCTGCATGTAAATGCACAAGTATATCATACAAGTGCATCTAAAATTATGCAAATGTCTCACTCAATGCATTGAAATTATGCGAGTGCATAAAAAGTCATACATGCTTTCTAAAGACAAAAAACTGTCTAAATCAATAAGTTCACATGCGGAACTCGTAATTAATGATAAATCGATGTTTAAAGCATTTGAAACCTGCATGTGAAACAAGGATGATCTAGATTGCCAATTTCAATTTCAACTTCCCTCTCGGGCATAGCTTTCCCCCTAGAATTGATGTTAAAAGTGATGGGTTGGTAGAAATTCGATTACAGTTCAACATCTAAACCTCAGGTGAAGTTCTATTCTTTTTTTCACTGTTAATGCATTGTATTTTAGCGGTAAAAATACTCTTCCACAAATCTCGCTTAACAATCTTTCTGAGAAAAGAAATTGATATCACTACCAAGAATAGCAGCCTCATACCGATACCAGAGGAAAAGCCCAAATCACAACAGGAATAGAAATATTATTATTGAAATTTAAAAGGTTACAACGACGATGCTGCAAAACAGAAAATAAACGAATAACGACACAAAATACACACTAAGGAAACAGCGAAGGGGTGAACAGCTGCTGGACAGCCGGCGGAACAGGGGTTCGAGGCATCAGCCACAGCAGGAGGGTGGCTGAAATGCAGAATCACAAGATCAGGAAGATGTGGGAGATGCAGGTGGTCAGCTGGATTGCTGGACAGCGGCGGTTGACGGCAAGCAGGGCGGATAGAGGTGGAAGTCGGAGAGGATAATCACCTCCGGAGGAAAGGGATAAAGATGGAGCACCACCCTATATGTCAAATACAGCCCCGACAGAAAAACAGGACGCCAACGGCTGTCCTCACAAACTGAAATCAGAAATCAATTAACTACCTAACCTAGGCAAGCAAACACATTTATAATTGTACTAGATAAAAGAGGCAAGACTTGGAGAAGAAAAGAACTTTGAAGGTAAGGGATGTAAACTAAAAAGGAGTTTCCTTGTGGCAAGGACGAATAGGAAGAGAAGGGAAGTAGGGGGCGAGATTGGCAAATCCAGGGCCTTGGTCACAGGATCGGGAAAGAAATCTCGCTCTGATGATCGTGAGCAGGGGCAGGTCCAAACAGCCCCTGTCCAGGCCAGTCCAGCCGGCCTAAATGCTGGTCGGTTCAGCCGCAGCGGGAAAAAGAAGCCCCGCATCAGTAGCGGGAAGGGGAAGCCCTGCGTCACATACGTTTTCTCTAATCAACAGATCAACATTTGGTTTCTAAATTTAAGAAGACTGCAGACAAAAAGCACCTAAAAATTACCAGATGAAATTATAATTATAATATGTATAATTTCAGTTTTATCAAAACATAACCGAACACAGAAACTAAGGAAATTTTTTATAAAGAGTACGTACCAACCTAATTGACTAACACGATTATCATGAATTTTGTGACAATTAAGAGGATTTAATTTAATCTTTAAATATATCAAACAAATAAATCTTGTAAACTCACCAATTGAAAAGGGACCATAAGATCAGCTTCAGCAGTTAACTGACGAGGAGGTAAACGCATCAGTTGACGGCTCTCCTCAAGAAAACACTGAACATTAATAAGAAAGAGGTAAAATAAATTGCTAGAGCTATTAGAGTAGGAATCACTTCAGAACTAATAAAAATTAGGCTTCAGAACCACGCAGCCTGTTGAATCAATTCATAGGAACATATAAAGTATGAGGTAAACACACAACAAAGAAATTTAGTAGGTGGTCTCAAATGAAAATAAGGTAATGGTAGAAAATATATACAAGACAAAATGTTTTTTATTCAAGGCCAAGCCTTGCTAAGATCATTTTCAGCAAAGGCAACTCTAGGGGTTGAAACTTGCACTGTGATAATCTAAACAAGAATATCAACAACCAAATTCTTGCGGCACAACCAATAATACAAATAGTACCAAGCTACCTAATATAACAATGATCCATACCTGGAAGAAATCACCTTTAGCTAAAAGAAAATAATCTTTCAGGGCTTTAAGGTGGCCATTCAAGTCTGCCCGAATCACTACAAGCTGAAATCAAAAGGACAAAAATTATAAAGACACTAAGAAGTATTACCCTAAGAAAAGCTCCATTAAAAAAAAAGTCAAGATTGAAGCATGCACCTGCCATAAATGGTTTGCAGCAACAGTACAGATTGAATTTACAGCAGATTCAAAAGATCTTTTATGGAACTCAGATGATTGCTGTATTCAATGAAAACCAATAGAGATAAATTGGTCAAGATGTATGATAGGTGGCAAATATTAGAAAGGTTTAAATGATTTTTTTTTACATTTTTTTCCCAGCTAATCCCCAATTTTTGGAATGGAAGCTGGTTCTGGTTTAAATATTTCAAAGCCTTTGGAAAGAAAGCAAAACAAATCGTACCAGTTCTATTATTTATTGAAAAAATACAAGGCATAGCCATCGCTTTGATCGGAAAAATCTCTAAGAAACAATAAAAACAATCTACTCCTCAAATCCAGAATATTATGAGAAATGCAAAGTGTTTTATTTTTAATTTTCTAGAATGAAAAAGAGCACTTAAGTTCGCATCAAAAGGCTAAATTTAAATTGTATTTAGAAAGTTATAAGAACTCTTCAGTCATTCATAAGCCTGCCAATTGGAGAAGGAAACAGAAGTTTATTCAACGTATCAATGCCGGTGATGATCTTCTAATAGATCACCATAAGATATCAGAGTCTTTCACAGAGTCATTAGAGATATTCTCAATTACTAAGTCGATGTATTTAAGTCTTGACTTAACAACTTCTTTCCTTCTTCGTATTCACTTGTACTTAGCCCTACTTATCTCCTCCTCCTTTTATTGGCTAAGTTAACGCTGCAGTTTTATTAATGGAAGCAAATAAATCTCTTGGGCCAAAAAGACTTTCAATTGAGATCTTCCAAAGTCATGTGCAATGTCATTTCTCCATACCTTATGCTAATTTTCAAGATAACTTCCATGCTGATGCCTCTATATTTAGACTAGTGACTAGGCTTGGCTCTCATCTGACTTTTCTCTAAGACAGGTAAGTATGATTCTGCTGCCGAAACTAATTCAAAATAATGGAAACGAAAGCAAACTTTATTAAGCAAATGAATTAGAGCTACAAACACGACTCAAAATGAAAATAAACACAACAACACCAACCTCCAATTAGGGTTTGAAGAGAAGATCCGTGAGCAGTGGTGGCGTCAGCGAGGTGGTTGAGAGTAATTGTGGTAGGGAGCGGTGAATAGGCGTTGGAAGGTAGGGATGGTGGTGGACGGTGGCTAGGAGTGGGGGAGAAAGGGATAGGTTGGTTGGCGGTAGGATTGGGAGAGGCTGGAGAAGTTGTTGTTCAGTGTAAGGGATTAGGAAGGGTTCCCGGCTGTACGGTGAGGCTGGAGACGAAGGACGACAAGTATGGCCACAAGGAAGGAGGCGATAGGGTACTGGTTGGCGGCTGGATGGGCTGGGCAGCAAGTACTGGGCGGTAGGCCAACAAGGAGGAGTATGGGTGGTCGACGGTTAAGGGGAGATAAGGGAGAAATTGGAAAGGATACAACACCATCTTGGAGCAGGATACTGTCGAAGCACTACCCGTTGTCGAATACAACCCTAACAAAGAAGAGACTCCACACATTATTTGAAAACAACAATCAAAACATAACCTAACCCTAATTCAAGAAATAAGCATTAAAATAGACTCCCATCAGGTGGAAAACAAAAAAGGAAAGGAGAATAGATAGAAAAGGAAGGGAGGAAGAGGGTTGGCAGCATTGTCGCCCCTTCTAAGTGTCGCTCAGTCTTGTAGAAACCGGGACTAGACTCCCCAGACCAGATTCGTCCGGTCCTTCAGACAGCCGGTTCAACCGGCAAACCTTAGCCCCGCGTCAGATTCTACAAAAGATTGAAGGCCTATAAGTCTATTAAATGGTGTTTTAAAAATATTTAATAGATTTCTTGCTAAAATGCTAATTCCCTTAATCTCAAGTTGGTGGCTATCACTAAATTGCTTTCATTACTAGAAGGAATACTCTTGGTTGTATTTTTGTAGCTCATGAAAGTGTTCATAGCATCCAAATCAAAAAGCTTTACAATTTTATTTTCAAGACTTTAAAAGGGCATTTGATAGTTGCAATTGAAATTTCATCTTTAGTTGACTAAAGAGAAGATACTTTCCACATTCTATTCATCAGAGTTGACATATTATCTCAAATGCAAGTTCTCAAGGAACAGTTAATGGTGAAGTGGAAAAGCAGTTTAAACGTTACAAAGCCTAAGACAAGAGGATCCTCACTCTCTTCTTCTTTTCATTATTGTTGTGGATGCCTCAAAGAAAGTGTTTAAATCAACAACTCTTGAGGATGGGATGATGGTTGGGAAAGAATCTAAGATGTAGATGACACATTAATTTTTGGTGGGACGACAACCTTGTAGGTGCTTGCTCTCTATTACTTACTCTTGCTTTAGAATGTCATACCAGCCTCAAGATTATATTCTCAAAATTTTCTATGATTTACTAGGGTCTAAGGATATAGGGCTGATATTGGTTAATTAGAAGGGTCGTTCTTGTGAGAAGCATCCTACTAAATATCTTACTATTCCTCTTAGTGCCAAAAAATTTCAAAAAGATTGGTGGATCCTTGTTACCAATAAACTGTTGGGATGGAAAACTGGGATTGATCGATTCACAACCAAACCACACTCGGAAAAATATCATCGATTCTAGAGATCTGGAACAAAATTCGAACAAAAACGCATAACAAAGAAATCAATAAAAAAAACATAGTAAATATACATGGAAAAACCCGAGAACAAGAAAAAAATCATGGAGCCACACCACATCACTCCTCACCAAAAATTTCCCTATGAAAATCAAGAGAAATGCATAGAATTACACCACTCAGATCAACTCTCTACTGCTCGCTTACCCCCCCCCCCCCCCCCACAATGATGCTCTTCTTCTCTTGATCACACAAAAGAAATCACTGAAATCCTCCCCGCACTTCACCGCTCCTTGCAAAAGCACCTTCGAGAAAATCCACCGCACGACAGTTCCACAGGAGTTCTAAATGTCAAAACATCAAAACAAAAAAGCTAGGGCTTAAATCCAAATTAAAGAAGAAACTACCCCTCAACACTACTCAACGCAAGTATTCCACGTTGTTTGTTTCGAAGCCTGGAAGAAATGAACCGTGGCGCGAGTGTGCCAGCCCTTTGGACTCAAACGCAGGTGTGCCTCTGTGGCGCACATGATGTGGCACAGGTGTGCCCCCTGCTACTTGGCGCTAGACTTCTCCATGCAATATGTCTCCACACTCAACAAACTCCCACTTGGAGATTGATTGCACCCAATTCCTCGTCCAGATCTGCACCTCCATTTTTACTATCTTCATAGTCTTGTACCACGGTGTTGCTCACCTCTGGTCTTAACCTTCTTGGACTCCAACTGAAGCCAAGCATAACTTTAATTTCTCGATAGTCATCACCTTAGTCAATATGTCTGCAGAATTTTGAATTGTATATATCTTCTCTAAGAATAATTATCTATCTTGTAGAAGAGTGAATAAAATGATACCTCAACTAAATATGTTTTATCCTGACATGAAAATAGCATTCTTAGCAAGATAAATAACACTTATGCTGTCCCTATGAAGATTTTATATCCCCTGTTCCTTGCCCAATTATGTCATGAAGTTTTGTAGTCAAATCAACACCTTGTTAGCCTCAGTGATAGCAATGTATTTGTATTTCCTGCTCCTTGCCCAATAATATCATAAAGCTTTGTAGTCAAATCATCTCCTTGCTAGTTTCAGAGATAGCAATGTATTCATATTCCGTAATTGAAAATGTAACAATCTTCTGCAATCTGGAAACCCATCTTACTGTTGTGTTCCCCAAAATAAAGACATACTCTGTTGTACTTGTTTTACCATACAAATCTCCTCCAGAATTTGAATATGCAAATCCTTGTATATTGATCATTGCACTTCCAAAGAAATGTGTCATATCGATTGTTCCCCTCAAGTACATGAGAATCCACTTTGCCGTCTTTCAATGATGCTTGCCTCTTAGCACAATTTTGACAGCTGCATCTTCAAAGGAGAAAAAGTTTCAATGTAGTCCACTGCTTTCTTCTGTTGAAATTCATTCACAAAAAGTCATATTTTGTAGTGTTTGTTGCCATCTAACTACTCTTTTTGCCTATAGACCCACTTGTTGTGTGATGCTCTTTTGTCATTTGGTATTTCCACCAAATCCCATGTTTGATTTTACCTTAGTGGTTGGATCTCATCATTCATCGCGAGCTCTCACTCTTTAGAATCTTCAACTTAAGCGACCTCTTCATAGCACTTTAGTTCACCACTATTTGTTAACAACAAATAGTATAAATAAGGAAAATGCATGCATACCGGTTGTGTCACTCTATCGGACCTCCTCACTTCAGTAGAAGTCAGGTGACTGAGGAACTTCTTGTGCTTAATCTAATTGAGCACTTCTCTTCTCCATCCTCCTGATCAACAGTATCTTTTATCTCAACATATTTGAACTCATCAGAAGTAACTGACAGACAATCTGGGATTCTACTCATGCACTTATACATTTATATTTCATTGAATGTTGACATCTTTGCTCCTGATAAACTTTTGATTATGATAGTCCATGAATTTGGTATGAATTTGTACCCAAATTCATATGAGTTATACCGAACGAAAGTGCACTTAACAAATTTTGAATCAAATTTACTAAATATCTTAGTGTTCCTTTTAATGATAAAAGATATTTAGAAAAGTTGGTGGATCTTTGTTACCAATAAACTATTGAGTTAAAAACAAGGATTAATCAATTCACAACCAAACCACAACGCAGAAAATCTCACTAGTTTCAGAGATCTAGAACAAAATTCAAACTGAAGCGCACAACAAAGAAATCTAAGAAAAACACACTAAAATTTAATGTGAAAACCCCAAGAACATGAAAAAACATGGAGTTGCACCGCACCGAAAATTCTACTACTAAAAATATGAGAAATGTACAAAATTACACCACTCAGATAAACTCTCTACTTTTAGAATTTACAACCTCAGGATGCTCCTCTCTTGATCGCACTAGAGAAAGCATCGAAATTCTCCTTCTTGGCACTTTAACGCTCCACGCAAAAGCATCTTTGAGAAAATCCACCGCACGAAACTTCCACAAGAGTGTCGAATGCAAAGCCAACATCAAATGCAAAAAAAAAATAACTTAAATTTGAATTGGAGAAGAAATTGCCTCTGGAGCTACCACACTACTCCTCGACGTATTCCATACTATCTGCTCTGGAGCCTGGAAGAAATGAACTGTGGAGTGGGGGTGTCGTATTTGACGCTGGGGCGCTGCCTCTATTTGGACCGAGGCATGGGTGAGCCTGTGTGGCGTAGGTGCGCCACTTGCTAATTGGTGTTGGGATGCTCTATAGTGGCACCGGACTTCTCCATGCAATTTGTCTCCATGCTCAATATAAACTTTGCTTTAAACTTTTAAATTGAAAAATTATTTATCAAAAGGTGATCAGCTCACTCTTATCGATTATGTGCCTCTATTTCACACTCTTTTAGGATCCTGATTGGATCATTAATAAAACTAATTGTATTTGGAAAAATTTATTTAGTATGGGAATTTGTGAGCACAGAAGCTTAAATTTAGTATCTTTAGACCTGAGGATCTTGGGGATATTGAGATTGAGAATCTTAGACTTGCAGATATTGCTTTGCTAGAAAAATTAACTTAAATTTCTGTCAATCGTTAATTATTTGCTTATAAGAGAATCTTAGACTTACAGACATCGCTATGCTAGATAAGTGAGCTTAAATTACTTTCTCTTCTGTAGTTGCTCGTTTGCTGGTAAGATCAATCGAGAGAAGCATTACATACCATCTAATTTTTGGTTTAACAAGTACTTCAATTGCTCTAAAATCTCATTACAGAAGTTAGATATGCAACTAAGCCTTTATAATCAGTTTCAAGTAGGATGATAATTAAGGAACAAAATTTAACTTCTGGATAGATAAATTGGTGGATAATGTGCGTCTTGCAATTAATTCCATTAACTATTTGCATTTTCCAAAAAAGTAACTATATAAGCTTCTACTTTCTTGAAGGTCATGCCAGGTTTGTTAACTAGAACCATAGAAGTATTTTACATTCTCTGAATTTTTTTTCTTTTAATGATCTCATTAAAAATTTTTGTATCAACCGGCAGGGAACTCACTCTGGCATATATCTAATGATAAAAATCTCTCAGTGAAACACTTCTGTCATTTCTTTCTTTTGCAGGGCAAAGAAAGTGTAATTCTAGACAGATTTGGAATACACTCCTTTGTCATCTCAAATTTTCAATCTTGTATGGAATTCCTTTCGGAGGAGAAAACCTTGTACAGCTCTCCACAATCTTGACTTTGATCACTCCACAGACTTGTTCTATGCGCAAAGCTTGCCCAAACGATGATTTTCATAGTTTCTTCAATTGTTGGAGAATTAGAAAGATTTGGAAAAGGCAATATAAATTATTTGACTTGTTTGGGATTAATTTTGTTTTTAAGAATATGCTTGTATGGTATGCTTTTCATTTGTTTTTATTTTTTATTTTTAAATACAAATCAACTTATTTTTTAAAACACTAAACACAAATAAAATTTATTTTGAGTGTTTTAAAAAACATTGATTTATTTGTTTCAAATCAAAACATAAAAAAAAACAAAACAAAAGCTCAAAATAGAAAACAAAAATAAAAAGTGATACCAAACATCCCTCACATTCACGGAAAAAAAGCAGTCAAGGGCATCATGAATAACTTTTAATACCAATAAAGGGTAGGTAAATGGTGCACGAGAAACAATAACGAAATTTGGACATTTGTAAGATACAAATAAAAGGGGGAAAACCTGAACAAATGCGTTTGGAGAGTGCTAAGAGGATGGCAGCAATTGTTGGGGGAAAATGGCAAACAAACCACAGTCCAGCGGCACGGTAGATGGGATATGAGCATCAGGAAGGATCCATCACCCATTACCGATCAAGCTACAGACACACCAATTGAAGAGAAGAAGGCAACAGCACTCCTACAAGGGAGAAAACTAGAGAAAATAATCTCCAATTTTATAAATCAAGCAAAAAATGTCCTACAGGTTTCACCATAATATATTTATACTAAGCAAACAAAATAACCCTAATTCAACTTCCTATGATTCTCGCTCGGCCGTATGGGCCACAGAATTTGTGGGATATTTTCTGCTTCGATACTACTTGGATTATGTGAAAAGGAGGAAATGCTAGATGTTTCTCTAGTATTATGAAAGGTGGGAGGTCGGCTTGGGTTAATAACATCTCTCTTACATAATTTTGGATACTTTCCACCATATGCAGAAAAGGTCACAGAACTTGTATTTTGTTGTTTCATTATGTTTATTTCCTTCCTTGTAATTAGCCCCGCTATATCTTAACCTCCTATTTTCATGAAAATTGTTCCTTCCGGCTTTTCAATAAAAAAAAGGAATGAAGAGCATATCAGCAAGTTCAACATACTTTAAAGAAAAAAATTCTGAAGATCTGTAATGTTCATCTGAAAAAAAATAAAATTTTCAAAAATTAAAATCTTGATACAACCTTCAACCCTTGGAGCATTTCTTCAATTTTATCAGCCTCCGATTGTGGGAAGAGTTCTTCAGCAACTATATTTGCACCCTTCAGAGGATCCTTTGAAAGGACAGAGGTTCCCATTGATCCCTGGGTCCTTTGAGTTCCTCTTAAAATGTGTTGCTGGTGGATGGATTCCTGTACTCTGAATGAATATGCTGGATTTCGAAGGACCCTAATTGCTTTACCAGCAAAGAGAATGGACTCAGCAATGTGCATATGTATGTAATCCGGCAGCATTTCCTGTAAAATGATCTCAACACCAGTGAGAGGAATGGTGCTAGTAAACAAGCTAAGCACCTCAAGTAAAAAGTGCGTCAAATACATTTGACGTTAAAATTGCAAGGATGATTAGAAACCATTATCATCCAAGAGTGAAGGTGTATGCAAAACAAATAAAGCTTACAGTTTTCAAAGTTCGAGTACACATTTTAAATAATTAATAGATAACTTTTTGTTAGACCGGCACCTGCAGTACTTCCTGCCATGCCTAGCTCGCTAAATATTTTGAAGACCCATTTTAGGCACAAGGCTAAAGGGAAAATTTAGACATTTGCTAGTTATTACTATTTGGTATCAATAAGGCTTAATAAGTTTAGGGTTGTTGTCTAGAATTTTAGTAGTTAGGGTTTGAGAGAAACTTGACTAGCTCTCGAATTTTAAGCCTATCTATTCGGGATTGCATTGTTTTGTTTTGGTACTGATAGAATAAAACATAAATTTTTTTGTCCAAATTTCTATGGAAACTCGTCTTGTTTCTATCAAATTGATATCAAAGCAATACCTGAGAGTAATGGCGGTCAAGAAGGACGATGCTTTAGAGGAGATATTAGACGGAGAGGTGAGTCAAATTATATTGAGAATGAAGGAGTGTTTCTCGTACATGGAGAAGCGATAGACGACCCTGGAAAAAAATGATGAATATTGCAGAGCTCCACACAAACCCTCCACTGCATGCCACAGGATCGAGTGACAACATCAAGAACGGGCTAGTGTGGCAGCAATCAAAAGATTTTACACAATTTCAAGGTTACGTCGAGGGCATAGTTGCTACCTTAGGTGAATCTGGGGCCACGAGAACGAGTTACAAGGTGTGGAGCTGACTCGAGCAACAACCATAAGAAGGGATTGCACGATATCAGGAGCTTCGAACGAGCGTAAACAGTCGAATGGTGTGTGATTTGGGCCTAGAGAAGACCAATTTGAAGAAATTTGGCCTTTGAGAGGGATCGCATGGCATCTGAATGGCTAGAGTGAGCGAAAGCACACAGAAAGTGACGATGACATGCGATTCGGGTTGGATAAGATGGATTTGAAGGATTTCTCCTAGAATAATAAACCACGATGGGTGGGACGCTAACCGAGGGTTGCATCCAACAGTGTTAGAGCCTTTTGTTGTTGCAACCACAATAGCCTTGTTGACCTCGCTTTCGGTCTAGGTGTAGTTTTCCCCTCCTTAGTAGCCTAGGATCTAACCGTAGGACCTCTCTGTCGACTACTCCTAGAAAACTAGTGAAGGAGCCCTCCTCGTTAGCAATTCTGAATTTTTCTTCGCTCGACTTGACGTTCCTTGGGCTACTACTCCGAAGGAACTCAGGGAGCATTCCTATAAGACTGTCGGCCTTAGGATTGACTTTACTCGTTGATTTGACGCCGTTGCGATCTTCGACGTCTTGTTTAATCGAATTCGAGCCAAGTTTTTGATGTGATTCGAGCCGTGACGCGTTTTTGACCTGATCGACGACGAGGTTGCCCGGACAACTCCGGGTGACGAAACGGACTGCAGCAATGCGTCCAGAACATCGATTTTTCTTAGGGGGGATATTCGTTTTATTGTGACGGCGCGTCTTGAGAAAAATACCTATTTAAGTGTTAATTATAATAATAAATAATATTTTTTTATTATTATTATTATAATTAATAACTTATATTAAAATCCTTAACCTAAATCCATCTCCCTCCCCGCCTCATTCCCTCGAACTTGTGGGTCTGCCTTAGCCCTAGGATGGCTCATTCAGTCGCTCGGCCCGCTCCTTCTTTGTGCCGTTGGGGGGTTTCGTTCCCGCGTTCGCCTCTCTCACGCGAGACAAGTCTCGCAGACGCCCATCCCTCGTATCTTATCTTCTGCGTTCTGAGTTCGATCTTCTCTGCCGCGGATCGTATCTTCTTAATCATTCTTCTCCTCCTTTATTAGAGCTTGGTTTTTGTAACCCTGGGGTAATGCCGAAAATTTTTCTAAGGAAGAAAACTCTGTCATTTTTCTTTCTCACTCACTTCTTTGATTTTCTGGTGTTTAAATTGATTTCCTCTTGCTGTTGGAAGAGGAATTGAAGTTGGGAAGTGCCTTTAAAATTCCTGTGTTACTTTCTTTCTGCTTTAAGGAGGTATAAGGGGCTCCCTCCCCCCCCCCCCCCCTCTCTGCGCCTTACTTCCTTTCAGTTTTCTCTCTGTCGAGCCACTGAAAATGACTCTGTTGGACGGTACAGCATGCTAGTTTATTATTGTACCTATACTTGAGATGTTTATTACTTGAGCATGTGAAAATAGAATGGTGGGCATGTTTTAGGGGTTGTACATGGTTATTTGCTTAAAATAGTGAGAATGTGGCATGTTTCTAGTCATTGTAGCAATTAGGAGGGTAGAAACATGGTTTTGAGGCAATGTTAGTTCTTCGTGCAAGCACGTTAGGATATGTATTATGAAGCTTTTCATTTATTCTTATCTAGCATGAGACATTGGAAGGTTTATTTGGTCTTTCACGCATGTGGAAGCTCGGTTTTAGCTCATGTTGTTGCCTCATTTGTTTGAAATCTATATGGAGTATGAAAAGATTTAATTTGGAAATTTATTTTGGAAGTCCCTCAGTCCCTCGGAACTTATTTTGGAGGCCTTGAAATGTTAACTTTGAGGTTTATGCATTCTTCTCTACTTCACGTTATTCCTCTCATATGAAACACATGTTGACGTGTGTTTGTTTTAGCCACCGGATGGCATGGTTTTTGGCCTTTACTGGGCTCGATTTACTGGGCTCGATTTTGGCTCCCTGTGGCTTTTCCTTGCTCGAAATGCATGTTATGAGAAAAATTTATTTAATTTGGAAAGCCCTGTAACTTGCTTGGATGGCTTGGCTTAGCTCCTCGTGGGGCATCCTTTTGCTCAAATATCCGTTGGGAACTGTTTCATGCTTGGAATAGTTAGGTTGGTGGCCCAAATATGTTCTTTATGTTGTTGTTCTTATTTAAGATGTATATTGGCTTCATATCTTGATATTTCAAAAAAAACATGTGGGTTGCCCTTTGGCTTGGGTTGGCTCGATTTTGCCTTAAGATGGCTGGAATTTTAATTTCTGTTAAGGCTTGGATTTTAACTTGTGCTTGGACTCTGTTTTGGCTTTGAATGACTCGGTTTCAGCCTCTATTGGGGCTCGGTTTTGCCTGATCCAGTCCTTGGTTTCCTTTTTGCATACTTGTAAAGCTTATTTTGGTATGGGATCTGTATGTTGTTGGGTACTCCAAGTCCAACATATGTGCGGGTTTATCCCCAAATGATTTGAAGTTGGTGCAGGGTGTGGTTTTACTCGTTCTTGGCCCCACTCGAGAGTTTGGCTTGGTTTAATTTTGCCTTTTCTAGACCTTACCCGAGAGCTGGTTTGGTGGAAGGGCTCGGTTTTGCTTATTTGACCATGTTTTGGCTTTGAATAGCTCGATTTTAACTTTCCTTGGAGCTCGGATTTACTTGTTGTGGCTCTTACCCGAGAGCTGGTTTGGTGGATGGGCTCGGTTTTGCTTATTTGACCCTGTTTTGGATTTGAATGGCTCGATTTTAGCTTTCCTTAGAGCTCGGATTTACTCGCTTTGGCTCTTACCCAAGAGGTAGCTTGGGAGTTTGGTTTGGTTTGTTCTTAGTCCTAACCGTGAGCTTGTTGGTAGATCATTTGGCTTGACTTTGGCCCCTGCTGGGCTCGGTTTTGGCATCTCATGAGCGTTTTTGGCTTAAATATACATATTGTGGAGGAATTTATTTTGATTTGAGGAAGTTCCATAGCTATTCTTGTTTGAAACATTTGGTAATATTATATTTTGATGTCTTGAGGGCATAGAGATGTTTTCTACCCTTTTGTTGTGGCCTGGGTTTGATTGCCCTCACCCGAGAAGTGGTTTGAGTGCGGTTTTGCTGGCTTTAGTTCCGACCCCTACCCGTGAGCTTGCTGGCAATCCTTTGGGTTTGTTTGGCTCTTCCTACACGAAGTGACTTGGGTGTTGATCGATGAGTCAAGTTTAAACGCATGTCTTTGCCCTGTCCATAAAGTGAGGTGATTGAAGAATAGGTTGAACAGCTTCCTTACGTCCTACTTGGTGAAATTGGAGTCAGTTTGGAGGCTTTGTGAGGGTTTGTCCATTCACTCTCCTATGTATATCAAATATTTTCATATAATTGAATCGGTTTGCCTTAGTCGTGAGCCTCTTTTGGCCTTGGATTGCCTCGGCCGTGAGCCATAATTGTTGTTCCTTGGGTTGCCTTTGGTCATGGGCCTTAGCAGTTGTCCCTTACTGCCTTAGCCGTGAGCCTTAATGGTTCTCCCTTCCCTTTTTGGTTGCCTTGGCCGAGAGCCTTACCTGTTGTTCATCTCTTTGTATTGACCCCGACCGTGAGCATTTATTTGGTTATATGGGAAGATTTTATGCTTATTTGATATATGAGGCTATTGATTAATTTAAAAATTGTAAGATCCTGATTTTTGTATGGATTTGGAAATATTGGTGGTGGTTTCCCCGGGGTCACTTTCCTTTTGCTCGGTTTTGCTCGGTTTATGACGTTTGGGAGATTTCTAAGTCTCATTTTGGAAAAACATTTGGCTGTGACGAATTGATTTCATAAAAGATATCTTTGGGGTTTGGATACCGGCGTTAGGAGGTCATTTTGACTTGGGTTGACTTGGGTTGATTTTGACTTGGGTTGATCCACTTATAAAAATGTGAGAAAATGATACCCTTTCGGATTAATTCAAGGATCTTCGGGCTTTCATTTTTAGGTCTTTTCGTCACGAATTTTGAGAGTTGATTCATCTTTCGTTCTATTCGATGTTTTAGGTGGATCAATCACTCCTCTCTCTCACCCCATTTTTGTTTCTTTTTTCCTTGTTTCTAGGTTTGGTTTTTTATGCTTATGTCCGATACATATGTGTCCACGTACAACATTTTACTATATGTGAAACCATCAAGCAAGGTCGCAAGTAGGTCGGT